GGCTGAGCCTGGCTCTCTTTCTGCGCATCCACGTGTTTAGAAACAAGGCCCCATAAACAAAAGGTGAGAGTGCGCACTGCTGTTCCCGCAGGTGAGTCAGTCAATCACACGTCACCTAGTAAACCCAACCCACAGCTGGTTTCCCTTTTAAAATAGAAAATAGAATTGTTCAGGGCGGGTTTATAGAGTGACACGGGCCTGAATGTCAGACTTGAGTTTAAGGCGCTCTCCTCAGACACATCCTTTGTTTACAAAGCAATCACTGTTAAAAGGCTGATTTTTAAAAACGAATTTGCCTTAATTAAAATATTTGTATATTTTCCTTAGCTTTGGGAAGCACTTTTATAGCAGCAATTTTATTTAAATAAAATTATAAGCTATTCCAGCTTAAACATGTTATTTTGTACCATTTAGCTGGCTGCCATGCAGAAATTCTGTACAGCTGTTCTGGAAAATTGGTTAATAACCAGTTTTATCCAATGAGAACACAGAGCATATTTATAAAAATTAGATTTTGAAGGCTGGTCTCTTCAATTCATGCAGTTAATTTCCTAATAAACATATACTGCTCATTGTAGGTAACATCCTTAGTAAAAGACTTAACTCTGTACTTGGTTTGCCATTATGTGCAAGAATAATTTCACCAATATTAGATGAGTAATTCTGTTGGATGTAATCGGAGTCTACCGTTAGTTTAGTGCCCTTAGGCCTTAAATTTGCTGATATTAGGAGTTCATTAAGTCAGCTTAAAGAAATCAGTGACTATTATTAAATAATTTACTTTGTGGTTAAAATTTCCAAATACGTATCTGTCTTAGGGAGCTAAAATTAATGTTTATATTTACTGCACTAATCATGAAAAATTTGGGGGGCAGTAAACAAATTTTTCAAGCAGTGGAGTCAGCATGACAAAAATAATCTTGTTTTTATTTTAGATTCAGATTTCATTACTGCACTCAAACGACTACAACTGGGCTTGGCGTTATTATACAATCCAAACTGTTTCCGTCAGAAACGCTAAGACTCAGTGTGCGATGATTGTTATTAATAATTAGCTCCTTGGTTTCTTGATAGAAAAAGGCTATCAACAAGCATTTGTTTATCCACAACAAAAAGTATAATTAGCTTATCCCACTTAGTAAATCTTGTATGCATGCCAACTCATACCAAACTGCTACTTTTACAAAAAAAATTGCAATAATACAGTTCATTTTTCCAGTCCTTTTTGCACAAAATTTATTTACAATGTCTACATAAATGCTCCAAGGTGGGACTATGGAAAAATACACACATGACCGATGCTTTGCTCAGAAATAAAGTCAACATATTAAAAATAAATCTTCAGTCTATGTTTTTGAGCTGCATAAAACAGGAAGTGATGTATAAGGTGGTGGTTGTTGCATGGGGACAATGATGCTTGATGTGACAATTAGGCTTCTAAACACACGGCCTTTTGGTTTCCATGCTTCCTCCTACCAGTCTCCTTAAGACACTGCCTGCAACAGCTGATTAATCATTGTTGATGACTGCAGTTTTTCCCATCCTTCCCGATTTACATCTGTTCAGGCCAATTCAAATATGGTGAGTAAATGAATTAGACATGCAAATTCAAGCCCCAGGCTAGAGAGAGGGAGAGAGGAAAAGAGAGAGAGAGAGAGCAAGAGAGAGAGAGAGAGAGAGAGAGAGAGAGAGAGAGAGAGAGAG